GAAAGCGTAAGTGCGTGTAACCCTGGTGTATCGAGGGTGTGTTTCTCCTTGATTAGCGCATAGATGACATCATCAGCGTTAGAACATGTCAATGTGTAGTTACTAAGTAGAACACTCATCGTTTTCTTCGTTTTACTTAAACAATTGTATAAAATGTCCACTCGTAAAGTAAGAGGTCAACTCCTGTAGTTGAATTGATAACAGACATGGTCAGTCCCGGTATTGTTGTTTTGAAGATTACTGTACACAATGAGGCTTAATTTAGTATGCAACGCTGACTCATGTACGTTAACGTTTAACTTTTTAATAAAATGAGTATTATAAATAATGTTTATGGAAACCAATTTTGAAGGCCTAATACACAACAATATTCGTGTTTAGTTACAAACGTTTGCGAAATGAAAATTCTGTTAGACTAAATGAAATTTGGGTAAAAGAAAAAACTTAAACGCTGACACAAGACTCATCTGACTGGCCTTTCTTGTGTCCGCAGAGTAAGATGAACCTCCAGCTGTACCAGGTGGACCAGAAAAGTTTTCTGCTCGACTTTAAGAGCTTGAATTTGGTAGATGTCTCCGAGGGGTCCCTTGGAAACTCCCTGTCCGACTCCATGGGGCGGAGCATGTCCGGCTCCCCGCCTTCCTCCCTATCTGACCTTGGTAAGTGACACTAACAGGGCAGGGACAGATTTAACGTTCTATGGCACACGTTAGTACTGGCATTTACTTTAAACCAGCTGGAATCTCCTGGAAACTTTCAGTGCATTCTTAATCCTAGCATAGATGCACTTCTAATTAACATACATTGAATTCTTGCTTATAAAAAAAAATTGGAGGTTCAACATTTTAGGTTTAGTATCAGCTTCCCTCTTAATAACGTTTATTTTGTATGTGTATGTTTACATTTAGTAGTATGTGGAAATAACGTAGAGCACCCACATATATATTATGATGCTGAATGCTACTATCTGACTGTATATCCGACTATTGTTGTTGTGATTATTCGCTGTTGTCTAGTTTGACTTATATCTGTGTAATGATATCGTTGTAAAGTGTTTCCATGTAGTGACCATTTCAAACTCGTGTGTAGTGAATTCATGCTTGTTTCATTTGTGTTGTAGCTATAGCTATACGTGTAGTATCATAATGCATTTTATATGGTATCGTACGTTATTATAGATGTTTGAAATATATATGTCTCTTCTCTATGCAAGTATAATATGTTATAAAATTTACATATAATTATTAAACTGTGAAATAGACTTTATCATTCATTATTTAGTATTACGCTACAAAATTGTATGATAAAAAATTGACTTCTTTCAAATATTTCTTAAAGAGAAATTGGGATAAGGGGCTGAGGATAGGATCAAACTATGTTAGCTATTCATAATGATGTGGCTAAACGATCGGATAAAAAGTGATGGTGTGTGTACGATGTGCTTCCACGCTGTTATGCCTAGGGTTACAGAGCTACTAACTTCTACTAACTAGTCTTCTCTCATCTGTCTCACCAGATTGAAACTTGCTGCTGTGAATCTTTCTTAGATCTGTCCTTATGCCTACTACCATATTATAGAGCATGATCTCTCCCAAGATTATAATTATTCTCTCGCCTGGTCATGTGCGACGGTGAAGCATCCATCAGCCATCCGCAACTCTGTCTATCTGGCATGATGTTTTTGTCTTAGAACAACTTCAGCTCTAGAACATAGGGCCTACAGTAACGATACTTAGATGGTTGCATACGGGGATAATGAGCTTTTGAAGTTTGTTCTGATGAATGACCTTGACCCTCTTTCAAGTTCAGGAGCCCTTAGGTCTGTGAGACCTGAAGAGCAATATTTGGCCTGTAGCTTGCTGATGGGAAAAGCTATAAAGCTTGGGCCAAATTAGCTACATTATTGGTCATAAATGTCATATGCATGAAAGCCTTCATGAAAATAACTTCTTCTGAAGGTACTTAAATCAAGGCTAAGAGATAAATTTGGTTTGTAATTTGCTGTTTTATAATTATTAATAATATGCTGTCAAGTTTGTTCAAATAGATGATTTTGAATAATTATGAAGGTCACATGTTTAAAATATGTTTCTAATGATACTTAGCCTGTAAGGTTACATGCTTTCAAGCTTAAGCAAATTTGATCAACTTTAAAGGTCACAGATGTTAATGCGTTAAATAAGGAGAGGCCTGTAGGACAAGTTGACCAGTAAATGATAACTCTGAAATATTTCAAGAAGATCCAACATCCTTACTATAAGTTCAACAAATTTTTTTCCCCGTTTGCTACAGAAGTAAGTCTAAAAGGGGATCCTACATCACAGTATCAGTGAAGTATTTTCAGTGTTCTGTAGAAGTTTTATGTCTTTAAAAAAGACAATCAACATCCTTAGAATAAGTTTAGTGTTTTCGCTACCTTGTAGGAGTATGAAATTACAAGAAGATCCAACTTCTTAACAAAAATTTGTAGTGTGTTTTGTTGTATTGCCGTAGTATGACTTGCTTATGACTTCTCTGTAAAATTGTTAGATCATCATTATTTCTATCATCAATCTTCCAAACTAAAAGGGTTGCTATGGCTCTTTATTAGATCATGCTAACATCCTAGTGGTCATGGTGTGATGTAAGATTGTGTGTGACTTTGGAAATTTCAGATTACTCCTCAGACAATGTCTTGTTTATGCCTGGTAAGTGTCACACTAACACTATAGAGGGGTCATCATGTCTGTAGCTTGTCTCTGACCA